CGGATGTCAGGCGCCCTCCCTTCGTTGGAGGAGGGGTGCTTCAAGACGCCGTCGAGCTGGGGAGCGAGGAGCTGGCGGAGCAAGCGCGGCCCCACCTGCACAAGGGGATGGAGCGGGTCGGAGGGCAGGTGCACGAGCGTGAGGTATACACGACGAGGGTGAGGTGGACCGCCGACGGGGAGCCCCGGTGTGCGCGTGCCCGCATAAAAAGAACGGTTATGTGAGGTGCTGGACTACCGGAACCGGCCGCCGATCACCGAGGACTTGGCCATGTGACTCGAGGGCGTCCACCCTGTGGAGTTGGAGGAGTGGCAGTGCGTCTTCATTAACACCGCAGCGGCGTACTTGTGCGCCCGTCTTGGGCGCCGGGCCAGCGTTGAGAAGGTTATGGACGAGGCCCGGAGGTGGAGGTTAGCCATCTGCCGAGGAGGTCGAGACCTACATGGGCGACGCCGACGCAAACATCACCATCACGGAGTCGGACGTTCGTGTGTTCAGCCACGACGCAGTGAAGCTCGACCATGAAAAGAACTGCCGCTGCTTGGCGGCTTTCCCACCAGGGGCCCTCCGACGGGCGGCTGTGCACGTGGTCCTTACCGGTCCATGGGGACGCGCGAAGCTGGAGGTGGCAGCTGGCGAGGATTACGACGCTAAGGAGGGGATGGACATCTGGTTGTTGCCGATGAAGGGGCGCCTGAAGGTCCTGGCGCCCCCCCACGTCGCGACCCTCTGGTCGGACTTCACCGCGGGTCGCCCACCCGCGGAGATGCCAGGCACAGGATGGGGACTCTACCTCCGAGACGACACGCGGATGCCTGGTGACGTCATCAAGCGCTGCCCCAGGTGTCGAGCTGAGGCGGCCGAGCGCCCGGAGCGGAAGGCCAGGGAGGAAGAGGTGAGAAGCGAGGGCCCGCGATGGCGAGCCTTGAAAAACTGGAGCAACCCCACGTGGCGGCGTTTTGCGGAGGAGGGCAGCGCCACGTCACCTGCTCACCCACATTGGGCAGGAAGGAGCATCAGTGCGAAGGAAGTCTGGGTTGGGACGCAAGGCTGGTCCCATGAGATGGGCAAACCAGGCGCCGAGGTGGGCACTGCGGTGGAGATTTACGACGATCTGGACGCCAAGGAAGGCAGTCGCCCGGAGCATGACACGGGGAGGAGCGAGGTGCAAGAAGCTCTTCTCCAGGAGGCTCGTGCAGGAATGTACTTGCACCGGTGATTCGCCTTCTAGTGCAGCAGATTCTCACCGAGGATGCTCAGGAACGGCGGGACGCGAACCTTTGAGCGGCCCGAAGGGCTTCCCGACGGGCCTTAGTGGGAGCGCGAAGAGACTCAGATGGCCATTTTCGCGGGCAAGCTGTTCCTAACGGTGGCGGACGCGGAGTGCCTATCGACAGCTGAGCACCACGCCCTGGCCGGCAGGTACCCGAAGGCGTACGGGAAGGAGGTCTGGAAGAAGATTCTTCGGAGAACGGACGTGCTGGCGGTGCCCGTGTACATGTGCGAGTACGCCCTGGGCCCTACGGAAGATCCCACTGCCCGGTATCGTAAGCGGTCGTCGCTCACTACGCGCGTCCAGGGGTTGCAGAAGGTCGCGAGATGGTGCCAAGGAGGCCACGCTCACGCGGAGCTCAAGGGGTTCGACGTGATCACAGGCCACAAGAGGACGGCGGACGCGGGCAGGTACGCTCCCAAGTTGCTCGAGCGCGTGGTCGACGTCGTGACCGAGGTGGAGCTGCGCCTGGGTGCGCATCTAGCCGGCGCCCATGGACGCGGGGGCGGGGGAGAGGCCCCCCCCTCCCGCCACCGATTTCGCGCCCGCCGAGGAGGTAGAGGAGATAGAGATAAGAGGTGAGGAGACTGAGGCGGCCGAGGAGGAGGCGGGAGAGCCGCCCTTGGAGGGAGCCAGCAGCGGCTCGGCGCCGCCCGCCCCTTGCCCCCAACCCTTGGCCGAAGGGCGGCTGGGGAGGATGGGGAGAGAGCCGCGGAGGCAGGGAGACGGGGAGGGAAGGGGAAGAGGAAGCGGGCTCGGAAGTGGGAGACGGCGAGGGGGATCAGCGAGGCGATGCGGAAAGAGTGAAAGGGGAGGGGGGGGGGGGGGGCAGGGGCACACATATCAGCACAGCGAGTTGGACTGAGCGTGCCTGGCCCCTGCCGTCTTCTGAACAGTTCTGAGGCGGGAGGAGCAGGAGGAGGAGGAGAAGGAGGAGGAGGAGCAGCAGCAGGAGGGAGAGGAGGAGGAGGAAGAGGATGAGGAGGAGGAGGAGGAGGAGGAAGAGGAGGAGGAAGAGGAGGAGGAGGAGGAGGAGGAGGGAGGAGGGAAGAGGGGGGAGGAGGCGGGAGGAGGAGGGAGGGAGGAGGGAGGAGGGAGGAGGGAGGAGGAAGAACTACGTATGACTCGGACTGTGGTGTTCCAGTCAGCCCCCGGGGGGGGGGGCCCGTGGGACCAGGCAACTCCCCGGCTCGGGGGGCCCCGCGCCCGACGGGTTGCCGGCACTGCTGCTGCCCGGCGGGTTGCCTTTATGTGGGGGGGTCGCCGAATTTCCGGGGAAGGGGGAGTAAGGCATCGGCGGTCTGGCCAGCGGGGGAGGGGGCGACTGCGAGCGCAGGATGGGCGGTGCGAGACGACGTGGGGCATGGGGGGAGAGGGGCGTTGCCCAGAGGGGCGGGGGGAGGAGGAAGGAGGAGGAGGGAGATGGGAGACAGAGGAGGGCAAGGAGGGGGGGCAGGCAGGGCAAGGGGTAGGAGAATGAGGGGCGGGGAGGTCGGGAAGAGAGGGAGGGCGCAGGAGGAGCGACGCTGGCCAGGAGAGGGGGCGAGCGGGCCGGGGGCAGAGCCAGCGGAGCACTGGACAAAAAGCACGATCCCAAACGCCATGCGCTAAGCCTGACAAGCCAAAAAAATAATGGATAAAACTGGCCGGCTCGCTCAAGACTGATTCGGAGAGCTACACGCGGCGACGGAAGCAACACCAGCAGGAAAGGGAGCAAACCGCCGAGGGCAGCAGGCGGAAAGAAAAAGAGCCGGCTAAGCCTCGCTGATCGCGGCGTCGACTGTTGCGACCCTTGTCCCCTCTTGCTGGACGTGCGCCTGGATTCGATGGGGTGACTGGATAACGCCCTCGCACGCGCTAGCTTGGAACAGTACGTCGCTAATCAAAGATGTCATATCCATTATTAAACCCCTCATCTCCTTAATCGGCGGACTGCTACCCCTAGAATCCTCGGCCAGAATCGGGTCCGCCAGAGTAGCATTATCACGTTTCCTCTTTTTGCTGTGCCTCTTATTGTTCTAACGAGCCTTCTTCTTAACCTTGTTTTCGTAGCCTCCTTATCATCATTATTATGGGTTTTGCTCTGCTTCTTGCCCGCTACAGGGGCCTCCGCAAGCGGCACTTCCGCAGCTGATGGCCCAGGAGCCTCGCTCAGCTCCGCCGCCGCAGGGGCGCTCGCCGCGTCTGCTGATTAGCGGGGTGCAGAGGGGGGCAGGGGGAGAGGGGGAGGCGTCTTAGAAGGAGGCCGCTTCTTAGAAGGCGCAGGCCCTGCATCTACAGACCAGGCCCGCGCCTGCTAAGAAGCAGGGGTGCTTCTAAGCAGCCTTCCCTCCTCCCCCATACCCCCCTCTGCGCGTGGCCGAGCTGACACGCCGTTGGCGTCCTCAGCCAGGATGTCGAGCGGGTCAGTCTGGCAGGCTCTGCCGTGCACTCGGTATCCCCTCGGCTTCCGCCTCGGCACGGGCTGCGCCCCGAAGCTCGCCTTGCCCTGCGCATCGAAAAAGATCGCCGGAGCCAGCAGGAGCTGTGGCATCAGTCTGTGTCTCCACGTCGGCGCGCACATCCAAGATGTCAAACATTGCGGCAGAGCTGTCACAATCGCAGGGTGACGAAAGGTTAGGATAGCGAGGGGCAGGGTAGAGATTCAGCTCACGCGGCTGGTTTCCCTGGGACCTCCTGGCGCTGGGAGGCGTGCATGCATCAAGAAATGGGCCCAGCGGCGGGGCCGAAACCAGCTGCATGCAGCAGATTTCGTACCCCCCCGTTTCCCTATCCCCCCTTTCGTTCGGCACGACATAAGGGGACTGTCCAGAGCCACCCAGAGGAATAGAACGCACAGCCCAAATGATCGTGTGCTCCATATTGTCCTCGGGTCTTCTCGATGAAACATTCAATCCGGTCGAATTGATCATCGATGACCCGCCTGGCGCCCAGCAGCTGACTGCTCCGGCTGTCCTACGGCTTGATGTCTGGAACGAGTTGCAGCCGAACCATTCGAAACCTCACAGTGGACAGAGGCGGCGGCACCCTCTGGAACACGAGACACGCTCGTGGAAGCAATCTCGACTCGAAGGTCAGCGATGAACTTGTTGATGAATGGCCTGGAGAGCTTCTTGACCCAGCCCAGAAGAGAGCCGATTTCTCGAAGCTTTCTTCGCGTCGTGCCTTGCCACCACTACTGAGTCCCATCAGAGGACGGTCGAGCGCCTTGGTGAGAACCAGCCATCGCCTCCCACAGCAAAGCAAGCAGCTCGAGAAGGGACATCATCCAGGCTCGCAACAGAAATGGCCGGGCGACAACATTGAGTAAGCGGTAAAGGTAGGAGGAGAAGGAGGATGTAGTAGTAGGAGGGAGAAGGGAGGAGAAAGGAGGGAGGAGGGAGGAGGGAGGAGGGAGAAGGGAAGAGAGGGCAGGGAGGAGGGAGGGAGGAGAGGAGGAGGAGGAGAAGAGGAGGAAAAGGAGGCGGTCAAGGTGGCGGGCAAGGAAGCGGACGAGGAGGAAGAAGGGCGCAGGGAGGAGAAAGGAGGAGGGAGGACATGGGAGGAGAGGCGGAGGGCCGGTGGTTCAAAGACTGAGGGATGGGGTCCCGAGGATGGGACGGGATCCAAGGGTGCATTTACATCGACTAAGGCACCTCGTCCTGAGCACCCCGTCCCTCAGCACCCCACCTCTGAGCCACCGAGAGGGATAGGGCGGCCAGGCCGTGGGGCGGAGGCGACCGGCGGCCTCCATCTCGTCCCGCGGCCCGCCCTTCTTGACCTGCCGCCCCCCTCCCGAGGTCCGCCCGCTCGGAGCGGAGCCGCGGCCACGGCGACAGCGGCGGCGGCGTCGGCGGCGGCGTTGGCGACGATGACGGCGACGGCGGCGGCGATAACGACGACGGAGGCGGCGACGACTGTGGCGGCGGCGGCGGCGACGGCGGCAGCGACGACGGCGGCGACAGCGACGGCGGCGGTGGAACCAAGCCTTTCTGCGATTCTCAACGGTTTTCGCAATTTGTCTGAAAAGGATCCTGAAACTCCTGGAGGCCCAGGCAGAGGGAGGAGCGAACGAGGACAAACGACAAAGAGCAGAACTTAGAGTCGACCGATCGTCCATCTTATCCGCTGGCCCCCCCGCGCCCCTGCGCAAGTGATGCGTGCATGTCGCCGCAAACCTCGGAATCGAACTCTGCGCCCGCGACTGCCGCGATTGCGCCTGAAGCCACGTGGCTCGTGGGAGCAAAGGGTGGGGGAAGAGGAGGAGGAGGAGGAGGAGGAGGAGGAGGAGGAGGAGGTGGGGAGGCGGTGGGGAGGAGGAGGAGGAGGAGGAGGAGGAGGAGGAGGAGGAGGAGAAGGAGGAGGAGGAGGAGGAGGACGTGGAGGAGAAGGAGGAGGAAAAGAAGGAGGAGGAGGGAGTATGAATGTATGTATAGGCTTACATCTATGTATACCACGTTTCACGCGTGATACACCTATTATTCATAGGCAATGTGGTTGCCATTGCTGTCATGGAACAGTGGGTTCTTGCATTCTCAATGTACAACATTTGCGGCGTAAGATGTATGGTGCAACCTCTGTGATGCAATATCCGCCACCGTACCCCCTAGCACGATAGGTGAGTGCTCGAATGCCAAGTGCTGCCTGGCAGGGTTTCTGTAATTTTCTACAAGGCTCCCACCCTCTCGGGAAGCGCAAAGGCGAGAGCACCATCCCTTCTTCCCAAGGCCAGAATCCCTAGCAAATACGGCAGATTCGCGCTCCCGAGGCCTAGATGCCTCCAAGACGACCCAATATCGGTCCAAGATGGGACACTCTGGCCTCAAGGCGGCCCAAGATGGCTTCAAAACGGCCCATGAGGCCGTCGAGGCGTCCCAAGAGGGCCCCAAGAGCCGTCCCCAGAGGGCCTCGAGAGGCAAAAATCACTGTTTGTCCTTAGGCTGTTCAATGTAGTTCGGGTTCTCGCCATTTCGAGCTTCAGACGTCCGAAGACGACCCAAGAGGCCGCCAGAACAGACCAGACGGCCCACGAGGCCCCCAAAGGAGCCAAGACGGCCCAAGAGGGCTCCAATGCGGCCCAAGAGGCGCCCAATAGGGCCCAAGAGGGGCCCAAGACGGTCCCAAGAAAGGCCCAAGAGGGTGAGCACGAACCGACATGTCGAGCCTTCCGCACCAAGATGGCCCAGGAGGCCCCAAGAATACCAAAAGAGGCCCCCAAGAGGTCCCCAAGAGGGCCCCGAAAGGCAAAAACAAATTGATGCCCCATAGCGTTGTCGATGTGTTGGGGGTCGCCTTTCCGAGCCTCCAACGCTCCAAGACGGCCCAAGAGGCCCCCAAGATCCCCCAGAGGCAGCCCCAGAGGCCCCAGAGGGAACTCTATCACGGCCCAAGAAGGTTCCAAGACGGCTCCAGAGGTGCCCAAGAATACCCAAGAGGGCCACAAGACAGCCGCAAGAAGGGCCCATGAGTGGGAAGACGAACCAAGAATTCGAGCCTTCTGCCACAAGAGGCCCCCAGCAGGCCCCCCTTGCCTTCTCGAATAGCTGCTGCCCAGAATGCTGCGCCGGCACGGTGGCGGAATTACCAGAAGCAGCTGGACAAAGTATGCAAGCTACGTATACGATGCAGTCGGTGTGACGCAACATACATGCGGGGTGCAACTTATGTGGTGCAGTCTATAGCCTATGGGATGCAACGTATGTGATGCAAACTGTGCATGGCTCAACAAAGTCACAAGTAACGCGGTGCAGCACATGGGATATAGCAAGACCACTGTACGAGGCGGCAATGGGCAATTACGGTGAGGGCAATGGATAAGGAATCAGTGGATAAGGAATCCAGGGTCTGGAAGCTGGTGGAAATCCCATCCAATCGTGGATTGGCCATGAAAGTCACCACCGCCGTCATCAGATAAGAAATCGTCCAGAGTCTGAAGCCTCCTGGGCACATTCCTGAATGAACTCCCCCACCGTACTTGAAACCGAAAGCGAAACGCGATAGTGCAAACACTATTTGGCGAACCTCCTGGTGCAATCTAGACGGTGCAATTTCGCTAGGGAACGCAACCTGCGGGGTGCCTCCACTAGACTAGAACACCATCCACGCGGCACGATCTGCGAGGTGCAATTTACCTTGCCGATCTGAAGTTGTTGACTCCGCTGCTCGCGCAATCATCCCACCCACCGACCCGCAACTTGACGTGCAAAACCCATGCGGAAGCGATTCCGATGAGTGCTTGGTGTTGGCTGGAGCATCTCTGCGACCGCGCTAGCCCGCGCATGCTGGCGCGCGCAGCGTCCAGCTACTTTGGCGCGACCGACGCGAACGCGGTGGCGCTGACCGCTCAGCCCATCCCAGCGGGCACTTCAGTGCGAGTCGGCGAGTTGGGCGGGCGCGGTATCATAGCAGCGTCGACAACGATAGACACGATGATGATACTAGCTATGCTGGTGATGATGCTGATAGTGACGACGGGGCAGCCAGTGACGGCGCCGATGCTGATCACGCCGACGACGATGACGGCGTCTTCGCGTCGGTGACGAAGGTTTTAGAAGGAGTTCGACACGCGCGCGCGGCCGACGCGCGACAGTGGCCCCCATGGTGTTATTTGACACGGATCGTGCCACCCCAGCACGCGCGCGAGGGCGTGCGAACAATTTCGACATGCACGCGCGCGCGCGCGAAGCCGGTTTGGTAGCGTGCTGTGGAAGTGTTGGAGAAATTAGCCTGGCGAAGGACCCAACCATATGCAGTTGTGGGTTTCGCATTCGGGGGAGCCCCCTATGGGGCCACGAAACGCTGTACTGGGTGGGGGGACGCATGCGAACTGCGCCACTGGGACCTTCGGTGGAGCTCCCTATGGGGCCACGAAACGCTGTACTGGGTGCGGGGGACGCATGCGAACTGCGCCACTGGGACCTTCGGTGGAGCTCCCTATGGGGCCACGAAACGCTGCCCTGGGTGGGGGAACCGCATGCGGGCTGTGCCACTGGGACCTTCGGTGGAGTTCCCTATGGGGCCACGAAACGCTGCCCTGGGGGGGGGACGCATGCGAACTGCGCCACTGGGGCCTTCGGTGGAGCTCCCTATGGGGCCACGAAAACGCTGCCCTGGGTGGGGGAACCGCATGCGGGCTGTGCCACTGGGACCTTCGGTGGAGCTCCCTATGGGGCCACGAAGCGCTGCCCTGGGTGGGGGAACCACATGCGGGCTGTGCCACTGGGACCTTCGGTGGAGCTCCCTATGGGGCCACGAAACGCTGTACTGGGTGGGGGAAAGGCATGCGGGCTGTGCCACTGGGACCTTCGGTGGAGCTCCCAATGGGGCCACGAAACGCTGCCCTGGGGGGGGGAACCGCATGCGGGCTGTGCCACTGGGACCTTCGGTGGAGCTCCCAATGGGGCCACGAAACGCTGCCCTGGGTAGGGGAACCGCATGCGGGCTGTGCCGCAGGGACCTTCGGTGGAGCTCTCTGATTAGTCGGTCGTAGCAAGCGCTGGGTCACAGCGAAGCGAATTGTGCACATCAGGTCAACCTGCCACTCGGCCCAGAAGCCGCGAAGAAGACATCCGGGCCCCTGCGACACGAGCGGGCTCGCCCCAACCTGCGGCAGGAACCTACAGGCCAATGTGGCTGGGGACAGCAGCCCGCCTCGTGGTTCCGGGCAGGCAGCGCGGTCCGGCGGAAGGGGGCGAAGAGGGGAGAAGCAGGCAGACGACGACGAACGCCCAGGCGGGAGGCCAGTGCCAGCGGGGCGGGCGGGCAGGCAGAAAACGGGCCAGGCGGAAACAGCAGGCAGGAAGCAGGAGGAAAGGAAAGGGAGGGAAGCAACGAGCAGAAGCGGAGGGAAAGCAGGGGGGAGGAAGAGGAGGAGGAGGAGGAGGAGCAGCAGCAGCAGCAGCAGCAGCCGCAGCAACAGCAGCAGCAGCAGCAGGGCCGGGCCAAGAGCCAGGAGGGAAAGGCCACCCGCGACGAACCTACGGACACTACGGCGGCGACAGGGGGGCCGGTGTGGGCGTCGGGAAGGGCGTGGGGTGGTCGTGGGCGTAAGGGCGTCGAGAAGGGCGTCGGCGGGGTCGGCCGTGGGCGCCGGGAAAGGCGTCGGGAAGGGCGTCGGGAGGGCGTCGGGAAGGGCGTCGGGGGGGGGGGGGGGGGCCTGACCGAACCCAGCACGCTGCGGCTTGGTGGGGAAGGAACCTCTGCGGTATCACCCACCGCCCCGCCGAGGAAGGGACGGCCGGCAGTGCGGGGGTGCGCCGGCACGCCATCCGCGAGAAGGGACACGGGGGAGGCGCCCGTGCTGCCCAGCCAGGGCGGGGGGAGCTCCCTATGGGGCCACGAAACGCTGCCTTGGGTGGGGGAACCGCATGCGGGCTGTGCCACTGGGACCTTCGGTGGAGCTCCCTATGGGGCTACGAAACGCAGCCCTGGGCAGGGGGAACCGCATGCGGGCTGTGCCACTGGGACCTTCGGTGGAGCTCCTTATGGGGCCACGAAACGCTGCCCTGGGTGGGGGAACCGCATGCGGGCTGTGCCACTGGGACCTTCGGTGGAGCTCCCTATGGGGCTACGAAACGCTGCCCTGGGTGGGGGAACCGCATGCGGGCTGTGCCACTGGGACCTTCGGTGGAGCTCCCTATGGGGCCACGAAACGCTGCCCTGGGTGGGGGAACCGCATGCGGGCTGTGCCACTGGGACCTTCGGTGGAGCTCCCTATGGGGCTACGAAACGCTGCCCTGGGTGGGGGAACCGCATGCGGGCTGTGCCACTGGGACCTTCGGTGGAGCTCCCGAGGGGGTTACGAAACGTGTGAGGGGTGTGCCGAGAGCAGAGGCAAGAAGGGGGAGGAGGGAGGAGGGAGGGGGCAGCGGGAGGAGAAGGAGACGCGGGGCACCGTCTCTTCAAAACAAAGACCCAACACCACAGGATGTTTGGGAAAAACCAAATGGTTTTCGTGAGAATTCGCAAGAACGCGCGCGCAAGTTTTTCGGGGAAATCCGTGTTGCGAGCGGGTGGTTTATCTCCGTTTTTGGGACACTCGATTTTGAAATCCTTACGAAGCCGAAAATTTGGAAGGATTTCGGCATGCGCGCGCGACGACGCGCGCGTGTGCACTTCGTCTCATATTTTGCAATGGACTCTTGACAACGTATGAGTTTGATCAAGAAGTGCGCGCACACTATGTTTTTGCAAAGGATGGCGGGGGGGGGGGGGGGGGGGCGATTCCGGTCCCCCTGGGACGGTACGAATTCGTATGTAAGATGGACGATGGGGCAGAACCAGATGCAAATTGCAATACAAGAAACGGAACCGATAATCCCAGGGGGATCTGTTTTCTTTTGAGAAAGGAGAACCGATGGGGTACACCCTACGCGGTGCAGTATATGCGGCGCAGTATATGAAGTACAGTTGCTGATGGCGCAATGAGATGTCTCAATCCACGTCGCGCACCATATGGAGTGCAAGCTGGGAGGGTGGAAAGTATGTGGTGTTATCTACGCGGTGCAAGCGATGCCCACATCCTGAAACGCGAGCCAGCGCGCGAATCGCCCACGAGGAACCCACTGGCCGCGATCGGGCGAAAACCAAGAAATGCGAGCCAGCGAGCGGGGTTCACTCGAGGCGCCCACGGGCGGCCACCGAGCGAAAACTCAGCACAGCAGAAGATGCGCCCACGAGGCGCCCACAAGCGGCCACCAGGCGAAAACCCTGAAACGCCAGCCAACGCACGAGGCGCCGACGGGCGGCCAATGGGCGAAAAAACGGAAATGCCGACCAGGCACTTAAGAGGGCAAGCTATGAATCCTAAGTGGGAACACTGCTTAGGGAATAACAGTGTGACGCTACGAGACATGTGAAACAAATAAGGAGGCCTCGCGGGTGCTTCGGTAGCTCCTCGAACCCCGTCTCCAATGCGACAGGGTCAGCTTGAAATAGACATACCCATGGCCATAGATCCGCCACCGTGCCCCTGTGGCACGAGTTGAGGTGTGCCCAGGTCCTTGCTCAATCCCCTGGAGGCCCAGTCCTCAGTCCTGAGGATTCTTTAAAGGTGCCTGGACCCCAAATTGCCAAATCTTTTGTTGTTCCCAGCGTCTTGTCGCATGATTTTCTCGTCCAAGAGGGCCCCGAAACGGGTAAAGAGCGCCCCTAGAGGCGCCCAAGACGCCCAAAGAGAGACCCCAGAGGCCTCCCAAGAGGGCCCCAGGAGGCACAAATCATTGATCGTCTTCAGCTTTTCAATATTTTTGGAGTTCTCCACTTCTCGAGCTTCCGAAGCTCCAAGACGCCCGCAGAGGCCCCAAAGACCGCCCCAAGACGGCCCCAGAGGCCCCCAAGAGGGCCCCAAGACGACCCAAGACGCGCCCAAGACTGCCCGAAGGGCCCCAAGACGGCCCCAAGAGGGGCCCAAGAGGGGAAACCCGAATCGAAGATCCGAGCCCCAAGAGGCGCCCAAGAGGCGCCCAAGAGGCCCCAAGAGGCCCCCAAGAAGCCCCAACGAGGCCCCAAGAGGCCACCAAAGAGGCACAAAACAGGCTCCAAGACGCTCCAAAACAGCCCCCCAGAGGCCTCACCACTAGGCCTCCGAAAGGCCAGACCGAAGGCCATTAGATACTGTAAACCGCATGAGGGGCGATGGAACTGAGGCCGCCCATGCCTTTACAACCTACAGCGAATACAACCCACCCAATCGCCTGCTTGCCGGCGCGCACGCCCCCATCTATGTGGAGATGAAAATTCCAATGAGCTTCGCCATTCATGCGCTTCCCATGTCCGAACGGCTTCTTATCATTCGTGTTGTCCTCCCTCCCGTAAGTGCTGCTACACGCACGACAGTAGACGGATTCCGCGCCCCAGAGGAGTCCAACGGAGTGGCGCCCTACGCAGAGCTCGCCTCCCCGGGTGCTATCTAGTGTGTAACTGTCGCCAGTTTCTGCGACCCTGAGGGGTCCTGAGGACTAGAGGTCTACGCGGATCCAAATGAAACATCCCCTCCCAAGGGGCTGCCGAACGTGCAACTGTCGCCACTTTCCTACGCCCCTGGGGGATCAGTCGGAATAGCGCACTACGCGGGCCCTTATGAGAAATCAAAGTCTTTGGGTTCCAGGGGGAATATGGTCGCAAGACTGAAACTTAAAGGAATTGAGGAAGGGCGAATGGAACCTCCCCTCCCTGGATGCTGCCAGCTGCGCATTTACCACCAATTTCCTGCATCCATGGCGCGCCCACCGTTGTGGCGTCTTTCACGGATCGGCAAAGAAACCTCGTTTCTGGGGGGCTGTCAAACGTGCAACTGACGCCATTTTCATGCGCCCCTATGGGGTCCAACGGAGAGTCTCCCTGGGTCCTGGCAACTGTGCAACTGTCTCTGGTGTTCCTGCGCCCCTTGTGGGGTCCAGCGGAGCGGCGTCTAACGTGGATCCAAATGAGACTTCGCCTCCCTGAAGGCTGCCGAACGTGCAACTGTTGCCGCTTTCCTAGATCCCTGGGGGGAGTAGGGACCTACGCGCCTACGAATTGAACATCCCCTCCCAAAGGGCTGCCACTCATGCAGCTGTCGCCACTTTCCTGCGCCCCAGCAGGGTCTAGCGGAGGGGTGTCATCCATACGAGAAATCGCCTGCCCGGGTGCTGCCAAGCGTCTTCGTTCGCCTCCCTGGGTGGTGCTTAACGTCATGCCTGAGTGATTTTTCAGCGCGAGTCCGCCAACACAGAATGCAGACTCCTGGGAAACCAGCGCAGCATCGGCAGCCGACGCTTCCCAGGACGGCGCGCTCCAGACTGCGGCCCCCCACCGGGTGCGCGGCAGGACGCCTCGGTCGCTCCCTCTGGGCGGGCGGCCGCCTCACTCCCCTCGCCCCAGCCAGCTCTGCCAGGTGAGCTCCGTGCCGTAGCTGGGCCGGCCCCGGAGGGCGTCCCCGCCGGCGAGGGGGGCCGCGCAGTCGGAGCCGCCGGGCCACGGCAGGCCCCAGAGCGGCCCGGTCTCGCCCCGTGCGGCGCGGCGGGCGAGCAGCAGCGCCAGCGCCATGGCCGCGCAGCAGGCGAGGGGCGACAAGAAAACGGCGTGCATCGCTAGCCTCAGGGAGGAGCGCTCGGCGATGCAGCCAGGGAGGTAGGCGCCGAGAGAGAACCCGAAGACGTTGTAGAAGACCATCGCCCACGAGGAGGCGCTCTTCCTCAGGCCCTCGGGCACGGAGCCCATGCAGACGCCCGTCACGGCGGGCAGCGCGGCCCCGCCGAACAGGAGCTGGACCCACACGCAGCACACCACGAGGTAGAAGCGCAGAGGGGCGCTCGGATGGCCTGGCGGCGCGGGGTCCAAGGCTACCGCGAGCACGCCCCCGAGCGCTGCGACGGCTCCCCAGGAGGTGACCAGCATGCACGCGTGGGCCACCTGCTCCGGCGTCTCGTAGCCTCCTGCGCGGTCCACGATCCAGCTGCCGATCACCACCCCGAGCAGGGGCGCGGACCCGGCCACGAAGAGGAACGCCGTCGTCACCTCGGCACCGCTGCGCCCGAACTCGACGACGAAGAACTGGGAGGCCCAGTACTGGACGGCCGTGACCACGAAGTACAGGCCGCAGATGGCACTCCCAGTGGCAAGGAACATGGGCTGCTCGAGAAGCGCTGCGAGCTGCGCGGCTGCACCAGACTCTGGCGAAGCAGCAAGCGCTGAAGGCCGCTGCACACGCACCTTCCCCAAGGACACGCTGCCCCGTCCGTAGACCTGCAGCAGCAGTGCCAGCCGGGGTACGCTGGACAGGCCCTTGGAGTGCAGTAAGCTCGGGTCGGCGAGCTGCAGGTCCGCCATCGCGGGCTGGGCACTGACGTCGATGCGCTGGCTCGGCAGTTGCAGGAGCAGGGCGCACGTGGCGGCCAGCCAGAGAGCCTGTATCTGGAAGGCCCTCTGGTAGTACACGCCCAGTTCGACCAGGTACCCACAAACCGCGTAGCCGAACAGGTTGCCAATCGCCGCGCTCGACTGCATGAGGCCATACCACAGGGTCTTGCTAGCTGGGGGCGCAAACTTGGACACCCAGACAGGCGCGTAGATGCTGATCGCACTCTGAGTGGCGCCCACGGCAAGCTTGGCGGCCCAGAGGCCATGCTTGTTCAGCACGTTCGAGAACACCACCGTGGCAAGCACGTTACCCGCGAGGCTCAAGAGCAGAACCCTCTTCTCGCTGCGAGTTCTCAGCAGTTCACCTGCCAGGGGGCAACCGAGGCACAGACCTACGTAAGCAGCTGAGCACAGGACGCCCTTGTCCGACTCGCTCAGGCACGGGTAGCTCGGGTCTGGAGTCCACGCCGCCCCTGGGCTCCCGTGCCCTGGCGGCCCTGGGCAGCCCCTGCCGAGGTGCACCAGGATGGCCGCCGTGCCGCCGGAGTCGAAGTTGACCATGCTGCTGGTGACGAGGAGGACGACGAAGACGAAGGTCGGCCCGCCGGACTCGGCCGGGCCCCCTCGCGGCGCCGACGGAAGCGCTCCCTGGCCAGAGGCGCTCCCAGCTGGGCCCCTCCCCTCGAGGGCCCTGGGCGGCCCTGCTGGGCCTCGCCCTCCTCCCCCATCCTCCTCCTCCTCCTCCCCCTCCTCCTCCTCCTCCTCCTCCTCCTCCTCCCCCATCCTCCTCCTCCTCCTCCTCCTCCTCCTCCTCCTCCTCCTCCTCCTCCTCCTCCTCCTCCTCCTCCTCCACCACCACGGGGGGCCGCCCGAGGTCTCCCCAGCGGGCCCCCGGGGACACCTCGGGCCCTTGGGTGAGCCTCCATGGGAGCTTCAGCTCCGCGGCCCGATCATAGACGACCAGATTTCGCCCAGGTGTCGTCCAAACTTCCTCCAGGTTACGTCCAGATGTCGACCACATCCGACGAAATCTGGACGAGGTCCCCGAAACCGCAAGGCATTTTGGGACCCCCTGAGACTCCCATGAAGGACCATACCTCGGACCAGGGCCGCTTCTGCTGGCGACCAATATCGCCGTTGCGGCAGACTATCTATGTGCATCGCTTTCTCGCCTTTTCGTTTCCAATGGGCTTCTGAGGCCTCAAGATGGCCCAAAAGAGAGCCCCCAGGAGAAGCCCAAAGGCCTCCGAGCCCGAGGTCTCCCCAGCGGCCCCTGGGGACGGACAGGCCCAGGGCCTGGGGACTGGACATGTGCGTCCCACTACTCGCACAGACGCGCTCGCCTAAGACCTGGATCCGCCGCGGGGGATCCACGATCCAGTACATCGAGACAAACCTGTGGTGTTCGGACGTTTGCGAGCAGGCACCTTGCGAGTAGTGCAACGCGATCGGGACACCTCGGACCAGGGCCGCTTCTGCTGGCGACCGACCTCGCGCCATCCCCGCCAGCGCACCAGGCACGCGAGTCATCGCGGCGGCTGCGCGAAGCCGCGCGGCGGGTGACCGGGCATGCTGCGCGCCGCGCCCAGCGCGGTGTCGCGCGGTCGCCTGAGCCAAAATGGCTGCGGCGGGGGGGCGAGAAGGAGGAGGGGGGAGTGGAGGAGGGGTGGAAGACGAGGAGAACAGCGCGGGGGCGGAGAAGGAGGTTCTTCTCCCTGAACCTCTTGGTTTTCTTACCCTCCACCAGGAGTGGCTGGGAGGTTGGAGGGCGCCACATGTTATCAGCAAGAACGTCCGCGACTCTGAGCTCTGAGGAGGAGGCGTAGGAGGAGGGAAAGGCCCTGGGCATCACGGCTTGGCAACCTGCTCCGCCGCCTGCGACGCCGGGAAACTCACGCCCATCAGGTCTGATTGCCCCAACTCCCACCTCCGCGTGCCTCCAATCCGGCACGCACACTTCACACGTCTCGTAGCACCACAGGAAGCTCCAACTGACTGCGGCATCAGTCGGCGCAAAAACATGGCGCACGCATCCCCAATCCGGCACACGCCTCACGCAGAGGTGGCCCCACGGGGGGCTCCACCTTCGGCACCAGTGGGCGCGAAAGCATGGCGCACACGCCCCCAATCCTGCAAACCCATAACACGCTTCGTGGTTCCATAGGGAGCCCCACCTGCGGTCCCAGTTGGCGCAACCGCATGGCGCACGCGCTCCCAAGTCCGCAGGCCAATCACACGCTCCACGGCCCCAGTGGCAGGGCTCCACCTACGGCCCCGTGGACAGGATTCGTATGGCAGCACCGCTAGTTTCAGTGCACATCCCGCACACGGGCCGTGCATAGGAAAAAACCTCATCATCGTTACGCAACTCTGCTAAGGGTTGAGTCCCTCGCCAGGCTACTTGCTGCTTCGAGGGGGGAGAGCACGCAACCACAAGAGCTCGACCCGCCAGAGTTGACGCCTCAGTGCGAGCCTTTTGGTCACCAAGCGAATTTGGAACGCCACCCCAGCCGACCTACTACTGATACTACCACTACTACTACTACTACTACTACTACTACTACTACTACTACTACTACTACTACTACTACTACTACTACTACTACTACTACTACTACTACTACTACTACTACTACTACTACTACTACTACTACTACTACTACTACACTACACTACTACTACTACTACTACTACTACTACTACTACTACTACTACTACTACTACTACTACTACTACTAC